TTTTTTTGGGGGGGGGGGGGGGGAGAGACGGGTTGGTTGCCTTGATGGAGGGTGTGGTGGTGGCGAGGGTGTGTGGCTGGTCTCATTCAAGTGTTCATCTTGGTAGATTGCAAAATGAGTGAGCGTGTCATCAACTTTAGCGCCGGCCCCGCGCACCTGCCCGAGGAGGTGCTGCGCACTGCCCAGAGCGAAATGCTCAATTGGCATGGCTCCGGCATGAGCGTCATGGGTGGGTTTTACGCGACAAAGCCTGTTGTCTCTGATGACACCACTGCGCTTGTGGGCCGGGCACCGGCTTTGTACTCACGCAACGCCAAGGGGCTCAAACCAAACAGAGATGAGCCACCGTGGCAAGCACTTTAAACAAATTATTGAGGAAGCCGAAGCCAGCCTGCGTCGCATCATGTGCGTGCACCTGCTTGTCCCCAGTATCTTTCTGGCAAGCAAAGATGCTATGAGAAAGGACAAGTGATCTGGACCTTGCCCAGAAGTTGCTGGGCAGTCACTCGCCTTTATTCTGCGGGCCCAACCCTTGCCCTAGGTCCATTCCCGAGAACTACAAGGTTCTCTTCCTGCAGGGTGGCGGCATGGGCCAATTTGCGGCCGTTCCATTGAATCTGCTCCCTGGTAAGTGCCTGAATCCCTCTTTGCAGCTTGGCTGCCCTGCTTGTCGCTGACCCTCTCGCTGGCGCCATCGCAGAGAATGGCAAGGCGGCGTACGCCGTCACCGGTGGCTGGTCACAAAAGGCCATTCAAGAGGTCAGTTGACCTCGACATCCTTTGAAACTTGCTCTTTCACACCCTGTAGCCCCGCACACTCGTTGCACGCCCAGTGTGCGCGCACTTACCAGGCGCACACGTGTGTGCGCAACAGGCCGACAAGTACGGCACGGCAGCCCCTTGCTTCCCCAAGCTAAAGTCCTTTACAGGTCAGATTGGCTTCAAGCGATGATCTGCCCCCGTGCATGAGCGCACAGACGAGCAAGAGGGTCCATACCATGGGGATCGTATTCAACCCCCGTTCACCTCACGGTGGTGCCCGTCATTCGGATTGAACCTGCCTCGACCAGATATCCCTCCCGTTGCGGATTGGACTATTGACCCCGACGCTGAATACGTCTACATCTGCGACAATGAGACCGTGTTCGGCGTCGAATATCCCGAAGTACCAGATGTTGGAGGTACGGTGGGATCGGTCGATCTCGAAAAAGAACGCGGCCTCACCCGGACCGGACTGCCTGCCTGCATATTTTCCAGACAAAATACTTGTGGCCGACATCTCTTCCAACTTCTTAACGCGTCCCGTCGATGTCTCCAAGGTGACGCAAACATCAGACGTGACAAAATCTGTATCTACATCCGTGATCGCTGGACAAACCGGCTCAATCATGCCGCTCTGTACTCTCTTTTGCAGTTTGGTCTCTTGTATGCTGGTGTGCAGAAGAATGCTGGCCCGGCTGGCTGCACCATTGTCATTGGTAGGCCAGCAGCACCCATGATTTCTCCCTGTACGGCAGCGTTTGAGCACGGCGCTCAGAAGCCTTGGCTCATTTTGCACAATGACCCGCAGTGCGTGAGGATCTTCTGGGGAAGGCTCGCACCGCGTGCCCGTCCGTTCTGGACTACAAGCTCATGGCCGACAACGACTCGATGCCCAATACCCCGCCGTGCTGGAGGTTCGTACCGTATGCCTGGTCACAAAGCGCAAAGCCACATACCACGCTTGCCCCATCAAAGCGTGTATACCCTTTGCCTATCCATCTGACATGGTATTTTATGCTCCTGTTATGGTTGTTCTCCTCGACATGATATAGCATTTACGTGACGGGGCTGGTTTTTGCCTGGATCGAGCGCGAGGGGGGCCTGGCCGAATTTGCGCGTCGCTCCGAGGCTAAAAGCAAGCTGTTGTACGAGGCCATTGACGGCTCTGCCGGCTTTTATGCATGCCCAGTGGCTGAACGCGTGCGCTCTCGCGTCAACGTGCCCTTTCGGATTCAAATTGATGGGACTGCCTCGGAAGAGCTTGAAGCCAAGTTTGTTGCCGCAGCCGAGGCTCAGGGCATGAGCAGCCTCAAGGGGCACCGGTGCGTAAAAGGCTGCCGTCATGGCTTTGAGACCCTGGTCATTGTTGCTGCTGCCTGCCCCGCGCTCGGTTATGTTGTATTCTTACTGCTCCTTACTGTATGTATATGCGCTGCCAGATCTGTGGGTGGTATTCGTGCTTCGCTGTACAACGCCACGACACTGGAGCAGACTCAAAAGCTTGTCGATTTCATGGCGGCCTTTCGCCAGGAGCACAGTAACTAAGCCCAACACACGAGGGCTGGCGAGCAACTCGACTCGGCCTGACTCGACATAGAATATGATCAACAATACCACCCCCTAGAGGTGGGGGCAGATACATGTTGTCGGCTGGCCCAGGACTGAGCAATTGATTAGCTAGATGGGCGCAAGCAAAGAGCCGTGACGCTTAGACCTTCTCGGCCGGCTTGGTCTTGGCAACACGAGGGGCATCGGCGGCATTGTCATCGTGCACAACACCGTCACCATCGCCAGTGTGCATGAGGCGGGTCGCGCACATGACGAGCATGATGATGGCGCCAAGCCAGACCATCGAAAAGCCGGCATAGATGGTGTTCTCCTGGTTCTGGGTGAGGCTGACTTGCGAGACAACGAAGAACATGAGAGCCAGCTGTGAAGCAGACACCCAACTACAAACCAGTCGATTATGGTCGTGTGCGAGGCGGAACAAGCAAGCAGTGAGTGCTGGAGACGTAGGAAAAGTTTGAAGCGAAGGAGGCACCCAAAGGCATCGGCATGCCAGGCCAACGACTCACGTCAGGTAGAAGGCAATACCGCTGATAACAGCAACCTAGAGAAGGAAAGGCAGCGGCGGGACACACATGGGGAGGAGAAAAGGATGTGAATGCCAATGTCTGAAACTTGCATCTCACTCGTATGGCCGACCAAACACGCGCGTCCCCACCATGTCTGAGAGGAAGGCAGAGAAGCCAAAGATGACGGTAAAGACGGCATACACTAAACAGAGCCAGGGAGGTGGATCGGAATGAGCGCAAGTGTGAGTCATAAGGCAGGTCATGCAGGCTAGCCATCTCCATAATTTTGATAAATTCATGCCATTGTAAACTTACTCGAGGCATCAAAGAGTTCATCGCGAACGGGAGAGCCCAGATCAATCTTGTCCGAGGTCCACAGGACGATGGCTCCGATGATGGAGATGACCGAGCCCGCCGCAATGGCGATGGTCTCGACAATGTCAAGCTTGGCAAAGTGAAGGCGAGGCAGGCTCACGAGCCAGGAGAGGACCAGGCCAAAGTAGCTCAAGACACCACCAGCAGCACAGCGCTGAAAGGCGTTTTTGGTGTCGCCACTGGTTCGCTCGGCTTGAATGCGGCAGGTATCAACGCTCGAGAATGAAGCCAGACCGTCGCCAGAACGACGAGCGACGATGCAGAAGATGATGGCGGCTTGGATGGCAGTGAAGCAGGCATTGGGAAAGATGGTATCGGCGAGCGCTGCAAACCAGGCGAACCAAAACAAGAGCTGCCTGCATGGCGCGACGAGCGTCAGTTGCAGTAGAGCGCAAGGGCCCCGAGCCCACGCGGTGGTAGTTTCTGTTGAGGCATTGGAAGCATGGGCAGACGCACGAGTAACGGAAAAGATGCTTGTATTCACGGTTGGTGCCAGCCAGTAGGTCGTCCTCCACCGACCAGTTGAGGGCGGTACCGCAGAGAATGAGGAGACCTAATGACGTTGGTCCAATAAAAGGACGGCATTATTTTTTTTTTTTTTCGGCCGCGAGATTGAGTCGGCACACATGACCAAATGGGACAAAGTTGGCAATCAACGAGAGGGCAAATGGACGTACCGCCAATGACGAGCAGGAAGAAGAGGATGAATTTGTTGCCGGTTGCCATGTTGCCGGTCGAGTGTCTGTGCCGTGCGATGTCGCCACAAGCAAACATGAGCTGGACACGGGGACAGAACTGGAGGCCTGATGCAGTCCCAGTTTTTCCTTTTTCCCAATGCACTACATGTCTGTCCATCTATCATATCATGTAGATGGGTGTGTGTGTGTGTGTGTGTGTGTGTGCGGGTAGACGGTTTGGTGACAGCAGGCGGAGGGGCGGGCGCAAAGGGCGGACGCAGGGAGGGCGGGGGGCGCAACGGCAGACGGGCCACCCATTTTTCGACCAACCGTAGACGAAAATGAACAAGTTGTCGAACCCAATACACCGCCAACGGTTTTTAATGTGCAGTCCAGTCGTAGAAGATGAAGAACAATTTGCAGGCGCATGGCGTTGCTGGTGGTGGGTGGACGCCATCGGCAATACAACCGCAAATTTTTGTCATTTCGTCTGACAATTAGTATTGTCAGATCAGTTCTGCTTCCTGCTTCGTATGGGAAGGTGGGTCCAGACGGACGAGCATGATATCAAGCACACTGTCTGCGCCAGACATGAAGGTGGAGCCTGTGTGGCATCAAGCATGCTTATGTAGTGTGCTAGGCAGGTCTGAATTCTTACTGAGTCTCGCGCGTTGTCGAACGAACGACTAGCCGAGTTTTTGATTGTCATTGCACAATTGCAAATCATGCACACTGGGCAAACACAAGCGTCCACGAAGATGGATGCTTTTGGTACAATAGGAGTGCTATCTGTACTGATACAGTCTCGGACTTGCCCCCACGTCCTTTCGAGCCTCAAGTCCACTCTCAAGCAAAATAAAATAATTTTCATCGAATTTTTGCCACTTTTAGGCCACATTTTCTGGTCGCCTGGCTTTGAAGGATTAAGCGCAAGTGCCTACCTCCGATGACTCACACGCTCGTCAAACACTTGCACTGATACTTTAGCTTCGCTGCCACACCTATGCCAAAAGGACACGCCCATCCACGACACACCGCCCTCGCCCCCCTACGCCGCACGAAGACCTCCGTCCCACCGCGCCCGTCATACGAACCCGATTCCGTCTGACAATTCCACACAGGAGGAGGTGATACTGTTCCATGTTTTACACAACTGCGCACGCCCTTGCTCATTTTCTCTCTCTCTTTCTCTCTCTCTGTGTACGCGCGCTCTGTCTGTGATTCGGATTTCAATCCGGTTGGCCAGCCGACGAGGGTCGATCGTGGTGTATGGACTTGAGTGACGACGCGTCGGCTTGATCGCTCATTGACAAGGTTGGTACATGTGAGTGTGAGTGCGTGTGTGAGAGGTGATGCTGGGGTTTGTGAATGGGGGGTGTTCTGGAGCTCCTCCCCATCACCGGTCGTGCGAATGGAGGCGAGAAGATCATGGCTCATGTGGCAACTTTTTTCGGCGTCGTTGGGTCGCTCCTTATTGTGCTGCTAGTCATTGGCAAGCGGGGTCCTGTGAAGACCAAGACACACCACCAAGGCCGAGTGTGATCCTCGTGCCTGTCGAAACAATCTGCCGTCGTATGCCCGGGCGCACCCCGTTTCAGACAGATACGAGGCCTCTCGCAAGATACCCATAATGCGCGTGGTGACCACTACTCTGGCGACCTGACAACCCAAGGGACCTCCTGCTTGAAGCCTGTCTTAGTGCCATACTCATCTCTGGTCTGACATTTGGAGATCAAAGCCATTCAATCGCGCAGGCCGCCCCCACTCTTCAATATGGCGGCTCCCGTTACGACGGCTACGCTCCCTCTGATGGACACAACACCGACGGCAATCGTGACCTCCAACAACCTGGGTCCTGGCTGGACTGACAACCTTCTGCCCAACGATGTGATTGCCGGCATCACCATTGGCACCATCTTTGGGCTCATGGTGCTCATTGTGCTTGCCATCCTCTATCGCTACCGCGCATGGCCCTTTGGCCCTGCTTGCCAAGGATCACGCCAGCCACGCCCGCGACAAACCTCTGCGCGTGACCACTTGCTCGCAGCCGAGCCCTCGCAGTCTCGCATCCGCGCTGTCAGCGACACCCACAGTGCCCCGAGTCGGAGTCGGGGCGTCACCCAAACCAGTACCCTCAGCAATCCGGGTCAGTCGCCCTCGCGCAGTGCGCACCGGCACACCTCGGCCCCGGCACGCCCAGGTGACCCGCAGGCCGCGCAAGCCAAAGCCTTTGACCTGGAGTCGCTTGTTTGAAGATCAAGTATCAAAGGCACCTTAATCTTCAGCGCCTATCTTGCCAGGTTTAAGCCACTCATGACTGCGTGCCGCGCCGGCATTTTTCTCTTTGTATGATTGATCGTGCCATATCCGCTCAGTCCATGTAAATAAATCGAGTCCTTGACATATGGTTCGAGCATCTATTATTTTCTTTGCACAAATCATCATGTCTGCGCGTCGCATCCTTAACACGCGCGGTGCACGTATGGTGGCCCACACACACACACACACACACATGCACTTTCCGAAACAGACAGGGGAAGAAATTGTTCACTCTGATGCGTTTGGCTCAGCCAAGATGTTGCGTAGCGCCGCTCCCATGGCCGGGCCGTGGCCATGACTCAAGACCTCGACCTGCGCAGCTGGAAAAAGAAGCTTGCAAACGTCCCGCACAAAGGGAAATGCCTAAGAAATGGTCGAGAGCCCACCCGCCGCCATTACCAATGTCAGATCACATCCAATCAAATGAAGTATCAGCACCACGACTGCTGCAGCGCTTAGGCTCACGAGCAAAGGCGCAGGCATACGAACCGATGCGCCGCCGGTCAAGACCAGCCGCTCAATGTGTTCCGACACCACTGGCGTCGCAATTGTACGATATGGCGAAGTAATCGGAATGAGTCTGCAAGATCACCGGCAGTTCCCTGCTAAGCAACACAGCCAGCCAGCCATGTCTTACGTCCGCTGCCGACAGCTTGGTGTTTGATGGCAGATAGGAGTTCAAACATCAGCTGATGCGCCACTTCGTCCACATGGGCAGGTACGCCTTCAAGCCTGTCAACATTTACGCCGAGCCGAGATTTTAAACAAGACACAACAGCAACCAGTCAAAGCGGCGAGATGCTGGGCATGGTGGTCCGTGGCAAGGGCAAAAGAAGAGATGCATTCTCACCGAAAAGTAACGTCTTTTTGACCACGCTCGCCAAACATTCGATAGTCGAGGGAGAAAGGCTTGGATCCACAAAAGGCTTGCGTCTCCCACCGCGCAAACGTTGCCGATTCTTCTTCCGGTGTCCTGTAACAAGCGAACGGCGCTGGTGAGGCCGAACAGGGTACTATGGCAAAGCAACTAAATAGCACCAAGGCTCAACCAGCGTGCATAGCTGGCAAATGCATGAGGTGGCGTACCTGGCCAGGGTGCTAGCCCAGCGGTGCAGTAGATTGCCGCCGTTGAGACTGGCAACGGTCAAGAGGTGATGGTTGGCGGTGTATGGGCGAATCTCCACCATGGGCGAAAGAGGCTGGGAAACACGGACACGTGGCGGGTTGAACGGCAAGTATTGTCAGCTGTCAAGCCTAGAGTCTTTTAGCCCGTTGGTGGAGTGGTTCAGTCACCAACCTGCAACGTGGCCAGCTCTGCGTCGGCGACAATCTGGGTGAGCTGGCAGGACGTGCCCAGGTTGAGCATGGCAGTGTGGCGATAGGCACTTGGGGCAATTTCAGCGGCCTGTGCAATGGCAAAGACTTGCATCTGGTTGTCACCCTCTGGGACAGATACGGTGATGCCCTTGGGCAAACCGAGGCGTTCGGCCTCGGTATCGTGCACGGGCGAGGGCCACAAACAACCCGGCGGTACGATCTGGGGCAAGGCTGCAATCAGGGAGGGCTCAAGGCCAAGGGCTTGTGCAAAATTGGGGTCAAATTCGGTGCCACCAGGCATGACGGCGCCACCGAGGCTAAAAGCAATGGAGGGAGCCATGCTTTCGGGACTGCTGTGGCTGAGGCGAGCTGCCACATATTCCAAGGCCGAGTGGAGATGCCAGCCGGGCTCAGCCGTCAAGTCACCCTTGTTTTGCAACCAGAGGAGGCTGGACAGGCCATAACCATGATGAATGGGGCTGACGCCAAATTGTTTAGCTAGTGCCGTCAAGCGGTCCATCTCATCCTCGCTCCAGCGTCTGCAGCGAGAGTCGAGGGAATGAGTGGCAAGAGGATTCCGGGGCCGGGCTTGTTCGAAATGGTTGGACGGAGCATCACGTACTTGTCCTGCCAGGTCAGACAGGCAGTAGCTCGATCACAAGTGCCGTTTGTCCAGTGTGAGGCCATTGCACCGTGCATCTGGCCCGTCAACGCCATATGTGTGATTCGAGCGCGCACGTCAGCAGGCAGCTCCGCCAGCAGCTCCGTGGTCGTGACATAGAGGCAGTTGGCATCCTTAGGCAGGGACCATGCAGAGTGAGTTCAAGCCGACCTAGCAGGCGCAGTCCAATATCCGGGTCTGATCAAGCTCAAGCCGTTTCACCTGTTCAAAGCGCGTGGCGTGTTCTGGCGAATCAGTGTTGTGAGCATGATCGCGGGTCGGCCGAGCCCGTGATGCATCATGGGGAACGGGAGCAAGCGAGAAGTTGGGAAGCGGTCAGCGACCAGGTCAAACAAAAGGTGGTATGGGCAACCTCACGCCAGGTGCAGTCTTGACGGGCCTGACCTTGGCTGGCGTGATGCGGACGGTCACTGTCGTGGAGGAGGGCACGGGTTTGGGAGTCCAGGGCAACCAGCTTGATGGCTGTGGTGCCAATGTCCACGCCCAAGACGACGGGGGCTGCCCCGGGCTTTGTCATGATGATGTGATCTCTCGGGTTGTTGATCAGTGAGTCAGATGCAGCCTCTATGCCATGGATGGCCCCAGGCTTGCTCACACCGCCACGGCCGATGGCTCCAGACTCTGCTCTGTCGCGTCGTCGCTCTCTCTCTCTCTCTAAGCGATAGACTGATAAAATTCACACTTTCAGACGATCTCCGCAGATACCTCCCACAAGGAGCGTATCACCTCCCCTATTATCTCCCAACTACTTCAAAATGTCTCCCTGGAAATCTCCCTCACACACGCGCTGCCGTCCAGTGTCCCACATTATGCAGAATCGAGGACAGCATTGCCCAAGTCAAGCAGGACCACGTTAGCCTAGAGCGTTTGAGAGAGTTTGAGATCATGAGAGAGGTGGAGAGCCTCTGAGAGAAAGACAGAGGCGTCTAAGAGGGCAATTGAGATGTTGTGAGAGGACGAGAGATGTTGAGGGATGTTGGGCCTCATAAGCAGATGTATGATGTCCGCACTTGAACGGCTGAACGGCTGCTGGGGAGGAGGCTGATGGCCCACAGCTGCGGTGTGGCCTGTTGGGGACGTGAGAGGCACTCTGCCTAGCTTCGAGGCCTGACATTTTAAAGGGCGCGGGTGAGGTGATCGTGGGGCGTGGGGTCGTGTTTGTCAGGACCATGAGGAGATCATGGGGCGGAAGGATGGTACCGTCATAACTTCACCGGAAGACGACGTCGGAGTACGGCAAGGAGGAGGAGGAGGAGTGCCCACTAATACACAGGCAAGTAGCATAGTCCTGCGCATCATAATATGTGTGTGTGTGCGTGTGTGTGTGTGTGATTGGCACGGCATTGCACCGGACAGGGCGCTTTCCCTCTGTCTTCCTCTCTCCCCCCCCCTCTCTCTCACGCACACGCACACGTACACGTCCACGTACACCTGCGACGACGGATCGGATCCGTTGAATCCAGCACGCACGTCATTGTGAGGTTGAATGGTGTGAGCGGGCGAAGCAAGCTGCCCGCCAGGCCGGCCCGTCAAACTTACATGCACCCGTGGCCTGCTTGGCTGCGTGGCTGCTTGGTCACCTTTGGCTTGCCATGGGCGCTTGCTTCATCCACTCATTCGGCTGCCCAATCACCAGGCTCTTGATCGATCCAACGCTTCCCAATGGCCATTTTCCAACGCCCTGGCCACCTCGCCATCAAGCCACTTCTCAGCCCGCTCCCGCCAGCCCGGTGCTCAAGCACGTGTTGGTACGCAGACCCTGCCCACTCACAGCTGGCACATCCTTCGCCTCTCGCAAGATCAAGCAAAGTCGCAAGCTTCCACTCCAACCACCGCGGTCATGGGTGTCAAGGGCCACGGGAGTCAAAAGCTCCCGCCCAATCGCCCCCGCCATGCCGCTGTCCTTCCCGAGGAGGCCCTCGTCACCTTTTCCGACATGACCGCCGTCGACTTGCACCAGAGCAAGACAGTCTATAGCCACATCAGCGGCTACATTCGACGAGGCGGTATCACCGCCATCCTTGGAGCCTCCAGCTCCGGCAAATCCGTTTTGCTCAAGGTTCGCTTCGATCTCGCACCGCCTGAGCCTCCCAAGGCAGCGCAGCATATCCACCAAGATGCCGCAAACCAGACTCATGGCCAGCCACTGATATATTTTTGCTAGGCCTTGGCTGGTCGGGGTCATGAGATGCCCGACCTTGAGCTGCGCGGTACCATGGTCCTCGACAATAAAAGCACACCCCTCAACGACTTTCACAAGCCTGCGGTTTTTGTACCACAACACGACGATGGTACGCATGCCTTCCCGAACCACATTTGGCAAACCTCAGCCCTTACACCACCAAGAGACCCAAAGTCTCATTTCATCACTTTCAGCTTGAGCTCCGAACCTCACCCCTCTGACCTTGCTTGCCCAGGTCTGATCGGTGTCATGACACCGCGCGAAATGTTCACCTTTGCCGCCAAAATGAAGAACAACCTCGACGACACCGAAGTGACCAAGCTGGTCGATGACACCCTCGATCGTGTCGGCTTGGCACACGTGGCTGACCAACAAGCCGGTACCATTTATCGCCGAGGCCTCTCCGGTGGGCAAAAGCGCCGCTGCTCCGTTGGCATCGAGCTCGTTTCAAGCCCGAAGTTGCTCTGCCTCGATGAGGTTGGCTTTACGCACTTCCCCTGCTCGCCTCTCTGGCTTGTCAGCGTTGTCCCAGCAGCCACCGTTGTCCCAGCACCAGCCATTGTAGTCATCTTGCGCCGTGATCTCCTGCTTCCTACTCCATTCCTTAGCCTACTTCGGGCCTTGACACGTCCTCGGCCATCGACCTGATCCGCACCATCCGCGAGCTCGTCACGGCCTCTGATGGAAGCATGGGGGCTGTTCTTTCCATCCACCAGCCCAACAACGAGATCCTCTCTTACTTTGACGATGTGCGCCTTGCCTGCTTCCCCTTCACCTGCGCTGCCATCTTTTGATGCGATGATCTCCTCTTCCTTCCTGGCTCACAAGGCACACTCGCTGGCGCTCATCTCGTCTAGATTATTATCATGGCCGATGAAGGTTGCGCTTTCTGCGGGCCCGTTGAAGATGCCGTCCGCTACTTTACCAGCATTGGCCATCCCCTGCCCGTCGGGACCACTCCGACAGACTTTTTTCTTCAGGTCGATACCAGCAACCATTGGTCCCTGTGCTTGCGATCATGATGGGTCTCATGCAACATCCCCTCTGGTTCATGCCTCATGCAACATAGATTGTCGATAAGGATTCTACCGGCACGGCCATGGACTGGAATCCCTCAGAGCAGCAAAACTTTGCCTCCGCCTTCCTGGACTCGCCTCGCAACAAGTACAACGCTCAACTCAGCCAACTGCAGCTCACAGGCGCAGTGCAGGCGGGTGCCATTCACAAAAACACTCTGCTCGAGGCGTACGTCTCGTGCCCTCTCTCAATCCCCCACCCCTCTCTTGCCTCCAGAATGGGCAGTCATCGCCTTGCTAATGATGCAATGCTGCTCTCAACAGGTCATGGTTGACGCAATACTGGCTGTTGCTCAAACGCTTCTTTCTCATTGCACGCCGAGACCTTTCGCTCTACTACCTCCAAATTTTCCTGCAAGCCACCTATGGCTTTTTGATTGGCGCATCCTTCTATCAGCTCCCAGCTTCCATCGATGGACGTATTAACGACCTCTTTTCCGGTGTCATCTGGCTTCTTGGCGTGGCATCCTACGTGCACATCTTCAAGTCCGTTCAGTACTCCGATTTCTTGATCGCTCAAACCGCTCCACTTGATTTCACATCCGCCTGTGCACGTCACACGTACGTCTCAGTGTTGCCCACTCTCATGATTCACTCCCGCTGCTTGTTTGGGACGCCTAGGGTTTTCTATTGGACCGAAATGCTCCGCGTCTTCCACCACGAGCGAAGCAATGGCACCTACCGCATTCTCCCCTATTACTTGGCCGAACTGACCAGCACGCTCATCTTTTTCATCATCTTTTGGACCGGTCCCGTCATTGGTGCGCGCGCTCCTTTCAGAATGCACAGCACCCACATTTCACACCACCCCTATTTCATCATGTGCCTCAGCGCATCTTGCTCATTCTACGTGTCCTTCTGGCTAGGCTTCTTTATGGAAGGCTTGCCCGTCGAAAGCTTTGGCTTCTTCCTCCTATTGATCTACTTTGGCAACTTCACCGGCGAAGCCATCGGGCACAGCCTCGTCCAATTTTGCCCCGGCAACGCTGCCCTTGGCATGCTCGTCTTTCAGGTGAGGCCGCCCAAGCCTTTTATGCTGCTTTGCGCACCCCTCGGTTTCCAAACAATGTCAATGTGTCTCTGCGCAGTGACCAAGATCGTGTCCTGTTTGCTATGCGGGGCGATTCTTCAGGCATGGATGGTCATCATGTTCCCATTTGCCGCCGGCGTGTTTATTCGTGAGAACGAAGTACCCGACTGGTGGTCTTGGTTGCCGCCACTCTCGCTCTTCCAGCACGGCACGGGCGCGCTGGTCACTGAAATCTGGAAAGACATTGATTACACATGTACGTGACTTGCTTGCTACACCTGCTTGGCAATGCTAGCATCAGAGGATCCCATTCCTTTCCGTATGAGCCTGACGGCCTGATGTTTTGCTCTCCACTTTTAGGCGGTTCCACCATCACGGACGACGGCGAATGCTTGTATTCAGGCCTCAGCTTTCCGTGTGATCGGGGCTTCAATGCCAGTGAGGGCACTTGTCTCGTGGCCGGTACCACGGTGAGTTGACAGGCTTGTGCACTTGACCGACTACTTTGCTCCATTTTGATCCAGCATTTGGGTCCAGCGAGGCTCATCGATGCGTTGCACAACACCATCATAGACGCATCAAATTTTCAAGGGCATTGACAACGAGCCGTACCGCCTGTTGGGCTATCTCATCCTCTTGGGCGTTGTTCATCGGCTCTTTGTCCTTTTGGCCTATTACATTCCCGTGTCGCGCATGACTGCGTACGTAACCTGTTTCGCTGATCGTGGTGGACCAAGGGCCTTGTTACCAGATCAGCGTCCGCGAAGCACGGCATCTCATCGGTGAATTCCGTGTGGCTGTCGTGGACACTGCAGGGCTGTCCGCGCGGCTTTCCGCTCCAAGCTCCGTGCCCGCGTCCTTGGTTTGGCGTTTGATAACCTGCAGCTTCATCGCATGGTACATATTGCCCCGCTTCCTCACAGCTCCTTGTGAGCTGGCCTGTTCGAGCACCATGTGATTTTATCAAACTCATTCCCCGTCCTTTCGTGTCAATCGCGTCCTTTCTTGTCAAACGCTTGTTGTCATGGCCCAAATTCAGTTGGCTGCCATGCGCCAGCGCTTGGATGCCGTTAGTCCCACACCTGGACAGGAAGTGGCAAACGACGAAGGCATGCGCATGTCACTCCCAGCTACAGCTCCACTTGCCTCCCACACCATTGCCAAGACCAATGGTCCCGCAGCCGCCCTCGTCTTCCAGGACATGAGCGTCACGCTTCCCTCAGGACAGCGCATCCTCCAGCCAATGAGTGCTTCCGCTCGTGCTGGGCGAGTAACGGCCCTTATGGGACCGTCGGGTGCTGGTGAGAGCGCATCGCATATCTTCAAGCAGCGTCGGTTGTAAATCTTCTGTGATACTCACGCGTAATTGTTGTTACGGAATGTAGGCAAGACCACCTTGCTCAACGCCCTCTGTGGTCGTGCTCCATATGCGGAGGTGGCTGGTCGTGTGACCTACGACAAGTATCACTTTGACAAATCCTTTTTGGACTACGTGCCTCAATTCGACAACATCCCTCGTGCGTAGACTTTTGGCTGCACCCCATCTCACTGGATGCCGACTCTTCTATTTTTCGGCTGGCTTTGCGCACGCCCCATCTGCCTTGGTCGGATACGCCACTCATCTGCGCACTCGTTTCCATAGTTGTCTTTACGCCATTGGAGTTGCTGACGCACACAGCCCGCCTGAAAACACGCGAGAGTGAGGAGACTATTGCTCGCCGAGCTGGAGAGCTGCTTGAAATTGTGGGCCTGTCCCGCCATGCCGACAAGCGATGCCAGCAGCTCTCTGGCGGTCAACTCAAGCGTGTGTCCATCGCGTTGGGTCTTGTGTCCCAACCACGAGTACTTTTCCTCGACGAGCCTACCACGTATGATCACATGCACCTCGGCAGCGAGATACCCATTTAACCCTTCAAGCGTCTCCCTTATGAGCGTTATGCTGAATCACAGGGGTCTGGATTCGGCCGCCGCCTTTGGTATTATCAAGTACATCAACCGTATCGCCAAGGAGCTGAATGTGGTTGTCATCTGCACTCTCCACCAACCGGCACAACCGGTGTTTGAACTTGTCGATGACCTCATCTTGCTGGCACCTGGTTCGTTCTTTCAGTGCCGTCATTGTCTTGCTCCCCCGCATGTGCCCGTTCGAAAGGCGTTCTTTCTCTCACATTCGCATTTGTAGGTGGCAACCTGAGCTTCTTCGGACCTGTCAAGGAGGCCAAGGCATTTTTCACCGCGGTGGGCGCGCAAGTGTCCCCCGACGCCAACCCCGCCGGTATGCGTGCTTTCCTTGTCCATCTCCACACCACCTTCATATGCTCACCTGCGCTTGAACGTTCGCCTCTTGGGTCCAACCAACAAGTGTTCTGCCGTCTCATCGCTGTCCGCTTCCCGTTCCTTTGGAACATTCACATAGACGTATATCTCTCGTTTGTGAGCAAGGATCCGGCCGCCAGCATTCGTAGTTTGAATGCTGATGTCTCGTGGGCAAGCCTGTTTACGGCGTATCACGGCACCGACGCTGGGGCACCAGTGCCTGCGCACCCACAAGTGGCACCCAAAGCTGTGGTTGCTTCTGAAGGCTCCCGTTACCTGACACTGACGAACCATTTTCTGACCTACTATTGGCGCGAGCGTTCCGTGTATCAGATGCGCATCCTGCTCTACGCTATCATGGCCATCTTCCTGGGTACTTTGTATTTGCGTATCGGCGAATCCACCAACAACGTGCCTGAAATTGCGGGTGCAGCCTTCTTCAGCATCTATGTGCGTTGCTCTATGCAAGGGGTTTGATGAATAGGGCGATGCCGACGCCTGTTGGCTGTTTTCTTTTTCTTTTTTTGGTATTTCGACCCGTTCATTGGGCGTATCTCATCGCCAGACCCTCATTTGGTGATCATTGCTTGGCGATAGGTAATTCTCTTCTTCTCCGTGGCCAACGTGGCCGTGCACAGTTTTGATCGCTTTGTGATGGTCAACGGTTATGCCAGCAATCAATTTGCACTGAGTACCTGGAGCTTGGCCCAGTTTACGGCGGCTCTGCCATACACATTGGCAGGAGCGTTGGTGTATCAGTTGATCTTTCACTGGTTGGCCGGTCTCAACGACTCGTTTGCTTCCTTTATCTACCAAGTGCTCCTGGCAATGGTGCTGCAATGGGTCATGGAAGCCATTGATTGGGCAGTGATTGAAACCATGCAGAATGCCATGCTCTCCGTCACCATGAGCATGGTTCAACTTGGCAGTCTTTTCCTGTACTCGGGCTTCTTCATTCGGGTTCGTAGATCCTGGGTCTTGCTCATCTGGTTGTGTCTATTCTTCCATCACATTCACCTGGCGTGCAGCACTCACTTTGGCATCGCCGTTGCGTCTCTGGCGTCTGCCGTTTGCTAGCCTGGAGATATGGTGCCTGCCATCTCCTGGTTGACATACATCTTGCCGACACGCTATTTGTTGCGTGGGTCCTTTGTGTCCTACTTTGATGGTCAAGACTTTTATGACCCTCCAACCAACACCAGCATCTCCGGCAAGGATATGTTGGACACCGTCTTTGACATTGATGTGGATAAGAACAACGAGTGGTTGATGCTTCTGGTGGGCGTGGCCTTTGCTCTCTTCTTCCGCCTCAACCACTGGATGAGCATGTGGAACAACCTGCGCAAGATGGGCGCTGCTCTAACCAACAAAGAAGATGACGGCGCCGAAGCCAGTGCAGAGAATTCTTCAGGAGTTGATCATGCTCAACTTCAATTGGCGCAGGCCCATCTCACCACAAGCACAGAAATGAAGGTGCGGTGTTCAACTCACACCAAGGCTCTTCATGCTGCCCGCAATTTCTCACGGGATGGTTAAATGTGTGTTCTTCTTCTTTTCTAGGGACTGAACAATGCTGCTGGCATCGCTGCGCCCCATGTGCGCACTGTCGTGACTTCAGTCGATGACCTTGAAGTACCAAGTATTTCACAGCAGAGTATTGTGACCATCTGAATACCTGTCTCACAAAATTATTGATCGCGGACATGCGGTCACTTTCGCCACTTGACTGTGTGGGTGCTCGCTTGTGTTTGGCTTGGGCGCTCGAGTGTAATTAAATTTTCGAGTCAATCAATTGGCACACCATCAACGATATGCACGCATAAACCCGGCTGGGTGGTCATAGGATCACGAGAAAGTCCAGGCTGTGCAGGAAAATATCCAAAAATAGCAAATAACAACACGGAGCGAAGTTTACATGTCAATCAAAATTAAGGGAAACCCAGCACCAAGGAGCAACTTGCACCAGCTCGCCTCAGTCGGGCTCATAATGTTCAGGGGTGTACGCCGCAAAGGCGGCCGCGGAATGCCGGGTTGGTCGCGTGCGCGGCGTCTGAGGTGCACTCGCGCTGAGCATGGCACCACCGGCTCCTGCAGGCATGCTTGGGATAGCAGTCTGCATGTTTACGCAATGCAAGGCAACAAAAGCGCCAGGTCAGAGTCTCTGACCCATCAAGCTTACAAGACATCAAGAAACACACAGAAAAAGGGTTTTGACCGTGTAGAGACCTACCACAGAATGCCGTCGGTCTTTGACGCCCAGGCGTGCTTCCGATGACGACCTTCGAAACCTGAGTGAAGAGAGCCAGAGCAGCATCAGTGTTCCCAGCAAGTGGCTTGAAGCTGCAAAGGCGAATGAAAGGCGTACCAGCTTCCACGGGACTTTGCGCGTGGGGATGATGAGGTGGAAGAGAATGTGTCCACTTGCGCCATTGTGCCAGCTTCGCCCGTATCTAGGTTCTTAATGACTATCGATGACAGCACCTCATCCATGTCATGCAGCTCAAGGGGGTCCAGATGCTGAGCACATGAAATACCGCCACCACAAAGGCCAGCAAAGAAGAATCAGTTCAACACTCGAGAGGATAAACAAGGCGCTCGGTTGCAGAGGGTCAGGTAGATGGCTGCAAGTTCACATACCCGTCGTTCACGATGGTTTTTCATCTCATGGAATGGCTTGCTCTCACCCGTATCAAGGTTCTTCACGACGATGGTGGCCAAGAGCTCGTCTTCATCGTGAAGCTCCATGGGATCAAGGCCTATGTGTGCAAGGTGGGCAGCAGCCAGAGTGGTACACCGTGAGCACAGCAAGCCGGACACTGGGCAACACGCCAAAGGTGTACATACAACCACGGGTGATGCTGTCGTGCTGAGAAAGTGGAATAACACGCCCATCGTCCAAGCTCTTCATGCGAATGCCTGATAGCTTGGCCTGATGCCCAAGGGTCAATCATGAGAAGGTAACCGCGAGCTGTGCATGACCAGCCAAAACAAGGGCGTTCAGGTGCACTACCTTATTAAAAATTTCAAGAGCATCGGCTGACAAGCGCTTGCTCTCCTCTCGCCGACCCAAGTCGCGGACCAGAGCGCTTAGGCTGTTGAGCGCCATGGCCACCAGAGGGTGATCGGGACCACACTTTTGTCGGCGTACAATAAGAGCCTGACGCGCCAACGCTTCGGCTTGATCTGTACGTTTGAGGCGGCGCAAACATTCACAGCGCTGCAATAAACAGTCGGCAAACTGGAGAGTATCCTGAAGATCAAGCTGGGCCAGACCAGCCTGCACCAGACTGAGTCCCCGCGCAGCCTCGTCAATGAACCGTTGTTGCAGCAGCATGGTAGCTAACTTGCTGATTTGTACCAGCGTTTCGCGAGAGGGTGTGGGATCAGCGTTGACGCCGTCTCCTCGCGCCTCTGTCAAGGCGGCGCGGATCTGGCTGAGCAGCTGCATTGTCGTCATGGACAAGGCCAGCTGGCGCACCTCATCCATGTACGAGGTCAGTGTTGGTTCGCAAGCTGCTTCAAGCTCGGCTCGAGTCGCAGACTCTGGTTCGATATCCTGTGCGCCATCGTCTCCCGCATCGTGCTGGTGTGCCAAAACGGAATCGGATGAGTTTAGCTTGCTCGGAGCGGTTTGGGCAAAATCGTCTGCAATCACTTTTGGATCGCTGCCTGCAAAAGAGATCGGGCGCGCACCCTCGTCCATCTGATCGGCTTCAATCATGGCTGCACCGATTTTGCGGGAACAAGCTTCTTCGCCCCTGGAAGCCTCGGGCAGAAGGTCAGGCACTGACTTGTCTTCACCAAACCCTCAGCGTGCGGCAAATCCCGGGCTGAGCATGAACTTCCCCATCATAATCAAGCTCCAGCAAGTCTAAGCCACCGGTCGTATCACGTCACGATTGCATGCCGAAGCCTTGTTCTCTCGCGTTGGCCGCTCGCTCACACACACACACAGCGCGCAAAGAGAGAGAGAGGATTTTGAGAAAGAGAGATTAGAGAGAGTGAGATTCAGAGAGAGATTCAGAGAGAGAGATTCGAGATTCGAGAGAGAGAGAGATTTTTAGATTGAGAGATTGGTGTTTTGCATATGGGATGGACTGGAGGGCTGAACAAAAAGGGTTGGTGCTGGCGTGGGGGAGGGCTCCCGCGGAAGCTGATGCTTCAAAATCTCGAACCACAATCTGCCGGCACGCTTCATTGATGAGAGCGCTGGATGGATCACAATCGATTGAGGAAAGTCAGGGGAGAATGGGATTGGCAAAGATTTACGATTGCGCTCAGTTGTGGGGATTATGTGGCTACTGGGGCGGGGCTGGTGGCTCGCTTTTCAAATTTGGCCAAGAAGAAGGCAATCGTGCCATCGTGTACCGGGTCGAATCTTCGCACGCACCGCCGTTGTGTTTCTTCGAGCCCATGTCCTTCCAGACCAGGCGAGCCCAGGTCCCAGCCCTGGAAGACCAGGTCAATTGTTCAAGTGAGAAGGATGCTTGCAAGACAAACGAGGCCACCAAAAGGTCAGCAGGCAACGCGCGAGACATAGTCAAAACACCAATCAAGGCTCGTCACCACACACACACACACACACACACACACACACACACACACACACACACACACACACACACACACACACACACACACATACCGCATCCACCAAAGTCAGCTCGGGCATAGCCTTGAGGGCCCAAGCCACGTTGGCCTCGTTCTCTCCAGCGAAGAGGCTGCACGTGGAGAAGACGAGGCGACCACCTGGACGTAGGGCCGCCACGGCCACTTGCAACAGCTTGCGCTGGTAAGAGGCGTAGTCCTCCAGCTCAGCCACTCGCAACGGGCAATCCACCCGCACACGCGGTCGTTGGCCTAAAGCAGTCCAAATCCACATGAAGACACAGAATGGGATTGTCTGACGGGCAGAGCCAACTTCACTTCGCCCTGTGCTCCCCTGAGCAGACCGCCAGTCAAAGAAGTCTCCGTACCCAGGCCTGAGCAGGGGGCATCAAGCAAAACAGCGTCAAAACTAGCCAGAGGAAACTTTGAGTTTTTGCCTTTGGAGCCCTGATAGTGCCAAAAGCCATGTGCCCATAGTAGAATAGGTGAGGGCCGGATGAACCACACACGTGCCCTTGAGAGTTGCGTGTGCGTCGACAGGACTTTGGCAACGTATGTACCAGCAATACAGGACGTCAACATCGACAGCATACCTCGAGGCACTTGGTGGCATCCATTTGATGTACCTCAACGTTGTGGCATCCCAAGCTCGCAACCCACTCTTTCAACTGAGCAGCCTGAAAAGCGCAAGATTTAGTGTGAGCCCCCGCCTCTCAGGTCCGCGATCCTCTTCACTTCACCAAAACCTTGCTTCTGCTGCTCTCTCTCAGTTTTCCTGACAAAAGTAAGACATACACGTTTGGGGCTTCGCTCTAGCGCCACCACCGTACCGGTGCCGCGCAGCAGCAGGGAAATGTGTGAAGTCTTGCCACCAGGGGCAGCGCACATGTCCAGGACACGCATGCCCGGCTCGGGAGCCAGGGCGCGCGCAGCCACACAGGACGGCAGGTTTTGCAAGATGGCATTTGGTTCCAGCGGAGGCAAGTCCATGGTTTGAAACACAGCAGCTGTCATGGTTATGGCCAGCCCTCGGGGCTGTTCATCCTTGAAGAAGGTGGCACGAGCCACGTGAGCAATGCCATTGCCCACAAAGAGTAAGCGGTGATCGCAGGGCCCGTTATGCCCTCGCGTGTAGGCATCATCGACATCTGCATACACTGCCACGGACGAGTCTGGGACAATACCAGCCTCAAGACTCTTGATGCCGGGTGCAAAGACGTGCGCACCGCGCCAGATGGCCATGCCACACGCTAGGGAGACAATGACCCGGAGTCCAGTCGGCTCTACTGAGCACGGCCCGCGCGTCGGAAGACACACAACCTCGGGGAGAAGAGCATGGCGCTCAGCGCCTAGGCGTAGTAGCTCGGCCGTCACAGACGGCACTGCCCCATTGATTGTCCTTGCATCAGACGAGGGATCAAGATCAGTCACTTGTGTTGACCGAATCGTGGTCAGCGGTGGCGGTGTCCGCAGCGCCGCTTTGATAGCAGCCCAGTGTGCGGCCCCGGCCTCCTCACCCAGTGCCTGCTGATAACCTGCAGCCAACACCGCGTCAATTTCAGCCGTCAACTCCACAGCCGTTGCCGCCGCCATCTCGACGCTTCGACAAAATGAAAAAAAAAAATCTTTCTCTCTCTCTCTCTCTCTCTCTCCTCTCTCTCTCTCTCTCTCTCTCTCTCTCTCTCTCTCTCTCTCTCTCTCTCTCTCTCTCTCTTTCTCTCTCTTTTTTTTTCTTTTCTTGTGATGAAATTCACACACAAGCAGAATTCTCCCATATGGTTTTCAACTCTCAGAGTGCAACCAAAGGGATGTATGTCCTGCACAGCAGGCGGCTAGGCGCTTGTTCAGTGGGAACCTTGTTACTGGCCCTCTTGCGCTCATTAGTCCGAGTCAGTATCAAGAGCATCCAAAGCCCCATCCATGAGCCAGGCTAACTCTTGGCTCGAGGTGGCAACTTTGGAACCTAGGTGAGTTTGTGCCTGGGTTTGGAATATCAAGCCAGTCTCATTGACGTGATGGCGCTGCCAGGCCGCTTGCAGTGCCAGACGGCGCGTGGCATCGGTGGCGCCAGCACTGCCAATCACGCACAGGCGCTCCAAAGATTTGCCGTAGCCATCAATGGCTTCAAGCAAAGCTGGGTCATCCACGGCTAATTGTCCATTGAGCTCTGCCCTCACGGCAAGTCGAGGTGGTGCAGGTTCAGCGACAGAGGTCGCAAAGTCACAATCTGCAAGCGCATGCAGCAGTGCGACCAAGTCCGAGGCCTGCACGCCAACGTTTGTGAGAAAAAAGAAAAAGAAAGAAACGAAATAGCAAGAAGCAGCCACTCAGACAAGCAGTTCTCTTTGTCGAGCCAACAGGCCCAGGAAAGGGGCAAGCACGCGCACACACCGTGATGTCCAACCCAATTAGATCCACAGTATACTTGCCGTCGGCATCGGCCGACACCCGCGCTGGTGACTCAGCTAGGTTATCCTATTGAGCGCATCAGACCAGTAATTTTGCAATCCTGCATACTGTATAGATCCAAACTTCCAGCAAGAATGAGTGCCGGGGCATAAGGCACACCTGTAGGCCCTCCAATTGTATGTTCTCAAAATCACCCTTGCACAAGGCCCAAATCTCCTTTACGCTGTCCGTAAATGCGAGAGGTAGCCCCGTGCCATTCAACAGCACCTACAAAATCAGCAGATGACCATTCTTGATTAAACATGGGTTAAGGGGCGCGTGCTCCTGAGATTTGGAATCAAGTTTCCGAGCCCCAACCACAAGTTGGAGCCTGCACACACCCGTCGCAATTGAGGTCGTAGGTTGACAAAGAGGCCCAATTTGGCCGGAGACAGTCCACTCAAAGCATTGTAGCGCAAGTCGAGCTGCTGCAGAAGTGGTAAGGCACAGCCGTGGCTGGCCACAGGATTGCGCATGGACAAAAGTGTGTGTACATCCTGCCGTCATCACGAGTGGGGCGTGTCAGCATCTCTCATGATATATCCTTGTAAGAGCAACTCCAGCATCTCTTGAAATGAGCCTGTACCTCGACTTCCAAGCCGCAAGCAGCAAGGCTGAGCCGCTCCAATCGTGGCAGACACCACATGGTGTTGATCAGGTGACCCATGTGCTTGCGAAGCCAAACCCCGGTCAGGTCTGCACACCCCAACGTAGACAGAGCGAGCATGTGCTTGGATGAGACCTCGACGAAACTAAGCTTGGGGTGCAGCAACCGGGTTGGGTCAGTCACGTACCCAAAGTGTGCAGCGGCGTTTCAAAGCGTAGCAGGCGCGCCAACAAAGATGTTTGTTCGCTAGCCAGACTAGGAGAGACGATTAGGCCCGACCCGACCTGCGTGCACAAAACAACACCATGTGAAACTCAGTTTCAATCCGTCCACCTGTACGGGTTCGCAGACACCCGACCTGTTGAAGCGACGCAACATCCAAACCGATTTGCTCAGCTCGATCAAGTAAGAGGCTTGAGGGCGAGTCAGGAAGGACCAGGTGCACAGCGCAGGGGGCATCCAAGCGAAAACTCGACCATGACATGATGGTCTCCTAAGACGATAAAAGGCCCACGGGTGGCACGGTCATCGTAGCTCATCTGGCAAACACATAAAACCAAGTGTTCACTGATTCACTAAGCCATGAGACAAGGACACACCTCGTCCTGAATGACGCGCGTCACGGTGGGTAGAACGGCAAAATCTCGCACATACGCATCGGATACCTACGGCAGATGGACCCAATCGAAAGAAGGGAAATTAAAAGAGGTGCAGGAGATCAAGAGAAGAGATAGAGAGAAGAGCCGGGGGTCAAAGCACTTGTGTGCAGGTGCGAGTCATGTGTAGATGGACTAGAACATAACATTTGGCGCAGCACAATCCCTTTGAATCATTGAGGAATACGAACCGCTTTCTTGAAAGAATCAAGGGTTTTGACATCTGTAACCGTCACAGTGAGTCGGTCAAAGGTATCTAGTACGGCAACTTCCTGAACAAGCATGGGTGGCCCGGGCGGCCGAGCTGCCCAGACCTCCGTGGTACTCAAGGCGGTGGCCATTGGCGCCAAATCAACGTCCGGTGTGGATGAAGAAAGAGCCCTGCCGGCCCCGGAGGAGGCAGCGCGGCCCACAATCCCGCTGCTTGGCAGCGCATCTTCGCGAGGATAAAAGGATGTCAACTCGGCTTGATTCAAACGGCGCAAGCGTCTTGAGGACGTCCTTGTCATGCTTGGGGCAGGTGGCGGTGAGGACGCATCCCAATCACGCAAATCCACAACAATATCGTCGTATTCGGCGTCATCAGAGTCTGCAGGTTGCGCAGCGACAACACTGTCATCGTCGCTAAACAGATCTAGGTCCGGGGCAGATCGCAAAGTTGGCACATCCACTGGATGTTGACGATCTTTGGAAACTCCCGGCTCGACATTAGGCGAACGGACTGGCCGGTACCGGTCTTTGAGACCGTGAGTCCGTTGGAGCCGAGCCCGACTCGGTTGCCGCGCTGAATCTGCTGCACCTGTATTGACTTTCTCGTCAAAACTGTCATCGCTGGAGACGTAGGCAGCGCCCAGGTCACGTGCGTGCGCTGAGGCGCGCGACGGCGGGGCAGACCGGCGAGGTTTCGAGCGGCGCTGATGATGACCCCTGGAGCCGTCAGATTCCACAATGAATGCTTCAGAGTCCTCTGCGCGGGATGATTCTTCGCCGCTATCCTCATGACTGCCATGCGCAACAGTCTCCTGCAGTTCCTCGCCTTCGCTCTCATCGTAGAGCGCCTCGGCCCCGAACCGAGCCGGACGGACACCCTGTGCCCGAAGCGGATTTGCATAGCCTAGGATGGCGTCTGGCACATGAGCCAGAGCGATGTTTGCCAAAGTAACCTGTGGAGCAAACCCGTCGCATACAAGACGGCAAGAGTGCGTGAACGGTCACGGGTTGGGATGTTTCCAGCTTCAAGCCCGATCAGGTTGGTGCAGACTCAATTGATGGTACTTACATCGCGGTGGGCTGCTCGGGAACGTTGGAGCTCGTCAATGGCAGCATGGCGCGTTCGTCGTGAGCGTCGCCGTACTGAGGGCGAACGCGACTCTGTGGTGCTCACCCCTTCTGATCGCCGTCGAGTCATTTCCTGTTCATGTAGTTGATTCTGGGCTTGCTCTGCAAAGGCCGTGACAGTCCGGGCCAGGTCCAAGTTCTCGTGCAGAGCCATGGCATGCTGCCGCAGATGTGCATACAACTCGTCGTCCTCTGCGTCAGCAGCAACACTCAGCGCACATCGCCCATCTGCGGCCTTGCTCATGGGGTCCGCTCCCCGCTCGAGCAAGGCGTCAATAATCTCACGGTGGCCAGTCTCCACGGCCTCTAAAAGTGGTGTCTTCTGCTCCTGCTGACCACCAGGCTTATTGACTTTGATATCGGGCTGCAGGAGCAAGATCTTGACAACCTCGAGATGCTGACCGTTGACGGCGTCATGCAGGGGTGTCCAGCCGTTGTTGTCCACCACGTCTACTGGCGCACCTGCTGCTAGCAGAAGCGAGACCTTGTCGGCGTCGCCCTCATATGCAGCACGTTGCAAGGGAGTCTCACCCAACTCGTTTCGAGTCTTTACTAAGCGCACGGTACGCTTGCTGACGTTGCGTTGATCTACGTGTGTGGTGGCATGGCTGCTCCTGGTTTCATCCTCTGTCACAGACACGCCCGAAAGGCCATCGTCAGGCGCTGAGGACATGCTCAGCTCGTCGCTGAGATCTCCCAAGCTCATGGCGCGATCATCGTTCTCATCATCATCATCATCATCGTCGTCGTCGTCGCCAGCTTCATCTTCATCTTCTACTTGGCTTGTGACATCCTTGTTGCTTAGAACGTCTGTCACCACCTCCTGCACGCTCGCGCCGCTGCTATCCTCATGCGAAACTCGCGTCGGAGTAGCTTGCGAAGAAGACCTAGACGCAATGTGCAACCAGTGCTTCACCAAGGCTACGGCTGCACTCTGTACGCCAATCAGGCCTAGTTCGTTCCAGGGCGTCGGGGGCACACCAAGCGCACCACCCTCTGTTGTGACACTGTCTCCGGGTGCTTCTGAAGCAGTGTTCAGGGTTAGTCTTTTCAAGAGGCGGTGCAGAGTCTTGCGTCGCCCAGCCGTCCAGTTGATCTGCCGGGCAATTGTCAGAAAACGAGGCCAAGAAGCTGGGGCGTCACCTGGCCATGCGCGCAAAGCAGCGGCACGCTCGAGGGTCTGCAATGCGGCCAACAAGGAACGGCCCACTGCTTTCTCAAGGCCATGGTCTTGCGCCAGCTGGGCCTCGGTCACAAAGGCTCCAAAGGCATCATCAAAGTGCCCGACGTCTTGACAACACAGGGCGTAAGAACTTATGAGCGCGCGGCGGCGCCGCGCTCCGGGGTCCTGCTTAGACACATTGGGCATGGCAGCCAGCGCACGATAGGCACGCTGATAGAAGCTAGCTGCACGAGCGTGTTGGGCCGGTTCACAGGCCTCGAGTGCATCGGCAGCCCGCTCGAGAAAGCGGTGGGCCTCCTCTGGTTTCTCTTCAGCCAAAGCTTCGAGGCGCTGAACTCGCGCCAAGACGCGGCGAGCATGCTTGAGGCAGCGTAAGAGGCGATTCTTCTGGCTGCGTGTGTCAGCAACCACAGGGGTCTTATTCTGGCCGGCCCGAAGCCAAAGGTGCAGGCCCTTGGCGGTTTCGTAAGCTTGCTCGATGTGTCCGAACAGCGCATGCACCAAGGCTTGCTTGTTGCGGGCCTGAGCAATGCTCTCGGAATCTGCATCAGCACTCAGAGCGAGGTGGTTTTGGAGAAGCAGCAGGGCCTCGTCAACCTCGAAGCAGGCCACCAACGCATCGGTGTGGTTGAGCACAATATCCGTCATGAGGTCGTAGTGATTAACGTGGCGGGCATGTTCGTAGGCCTGCCATTGTGTACCCGCCAGATGTGGGTGAGCAACATCCATGATGCATCTATATGAAGCGTGTCCAGAGAGGGTCGATTCGACGGGCACGTACTCGAGCATAAAATCGGATGGCATTGCGCAGGCAACCAGCACCAAGCTCAAAACTGCAGTTGGCCTTGTTCATGAGTGCACGTGCGCTCATGTCATGGTACTCGCTGCGAAAAGATTGCTTCACCTCTGCGGCCCATCGCAGGGATTGGTCATGATGATAGAGCGCAAGCTTGAGCGCTTCACGCTTGGTGCTCACTTTCGTCTCTGCTACACAAAGGAATCAAACATTGATTGAGGTGGTGCTGGCCAAGAGACCGGTGTCATAAGCGATGGGGGGCAGGGTAGGGGAGTGACTGGCTCACATGGGGCAAGGCAGGGCAGCCAGTCACTCCCTACCAGGCAGGGGTGTGGTTGATGGGACGGACCTGTGGCTTGTTGGTAAATGACATTGCCCAGGTTGGTGTGTGCGCGCTGGATTTCTTGCACGTTATTGTGTTGCATGGCCAGTTCGAGTTCTTGTTGATAATGCGCACTTGCTTGTGCAGGATTAACCTCACGGCAGAGGTCACCGAGTAACCGGTGGACCTGGGCGTGCTCAAAGCTGCCCCTGCGCATATGGGCAAAGAAGGTGAAGAATGAGTCAAGGTGTGTCTCGAATTGATCAGGTACATTAGCATCAACAGCAACTGCAATCCAATGGAGAGATGTTCAGGAGAGAAAGAGAGAGTGAGCGAGCGAGAGAAAAAGAACGGCACGCACGGCGGCAACAGGTCCAGGGCCTCTTGGAGAACTGGTTCAGCTTCGGCGCTGCGTTCGAGACCCATCAGCCGCGAGGCGAGCTGCACATGAAGATGATGTGTCTCACGTGGTGGGGCACCATGACGCACGGCATGCCGGAGCTGCTTCTGCAGCCGGCGAACAGCCCCTGCTTCCATCCCACCCCAGACGCTGTCCTGCCCATGCCCACGCCCACGACCCACACGGCCACGACGACCTGCCGGGTCGGCCTCGGCAAAGGGGAAAGAGAAGTAAAAAAAAAAAAAAAAAAAAAAAAAAACAGCAACAACTCAAAGTTTTTGTAACTGTCACTTTGATTGATGGGCTCTTTCTTGTTGTAACATGTTTTGTGTGGAAATTGTTAACTCGTTCTTGCCTGCTTGACCAATCTGACTCGGTCTATGGCTGTGTGACCCTGGCTGACCTTGACCTGTCTGGGTTAGTGTCTGTCTCTGCCTATCTGACCGTGCTTCGCTCTGCTGGTCGTCTCTCTGCTGTCGTGTGCTCGCGCTTGTCTTCCCATTGCAAGAAACGACTATCAAGGGGAACAAATCAGGCGCAGGAGGAGCAAAAGGGTCGATTGCGCACGAGGCGGTGGCAAAGGGTAGGGATAACATAAGGAAGCGATGAGATGATGATGATAGGGCATGAGCTACAGAAGACTAAGAAGGAGTGCAGTTGCTGCAGTTGCTGCAGATGCTAGGATGCCGAGGTGTTGCGAAGCTGGGCTAGCATGTCGCCAAGCTCTGCCACTTGAGCATCTACCGATGACTCGAGGCGTTGTCGCTGCACGAGAGATGCCAAGAAACAGAAAGAGTGAGCGACACAATGGGCGGCATGGTGTTTGAGACTCTCAAGAGCGGATTGGAGCGTAGTGCGAACCGGGATGTGGGTCTCGTCCACATCAGTATCTTCCATGGAAGTCGAGGCAGAGGCAACCACCTAGCAGCCGCACAAAGAGGCCACATGAGAAAGATAAAAGAAGTTCAAAATGTCAAAAAGGCTCTGTTGTTGAGTCATGGTCTCAGAATGGACTTTGACCATAAAACCGTGACACGGCAAGTGCCTACCGTATTGGTATTGTTGGGGTCATCCGCGCTGGAGCCTGGCTGCAAACCGGCTGCCGTGGCCGCGGCGGCTGCAGCAGTACCGGCTCCAGAGACAGAACCTCGAACCTCATCTTGTCGCTGAAGCATCTGGTTACCCGCACTGTTGGCGACCGCTGATAGTCGCGCCGCGGCACGGTCTTGTGATGATTGGCGGTTCAAATTGTCGGCGCTGTCCAGATGATCCAGATCCGGACGGCTCTCCTCTTGTCTGACACGAGCCGCTTCCATCTCTTCAAGCGCACCAGGTGGCACGGCATCCACGGGCCCGACCGATTGCACCGTGTTGTAATCACCACAAAAGTAACACTGGACAAGAGGGCCGGGGATCAACATGAGAGCATGCAAGAGCGGCGGGGGTGGCCATGGGAGCAACAGGGTCATACCTTGTGTCCAAGCACATGATAGCCCACCCATGACTTTTGCTGGCAGTCATTGCACAGAACTTGCACCCATTGGTCGCGCAGTCCTTCTGGCTGTGGGTGGGGACATCGAGCCAGGCAAAGGAGATGCATGCGTTGACTTGCTTGCACGGCGTATGCAAGGGGGCTTCGGACGGACAGGTTCAGAAGACAACGGGACCAAGAAGGCTTACCATGGGCTCGGCTTCAATCATGGCATCCAGATTCTGAATGCGCTTCAGATCCCGTTGATATGTGCGGCTGCATACCGGGCAGCGTCCCCTGCAAAGTGCAAGCAATCAGTCAGTATGAAATGGTCAAGTGCAGAGGCGTTGTCTCTGTGGATAGTATATCAGCAGGTGTGATAAATAATGACCCACGTCGAGGAAGTGAGAACTTCGTCGTAGCAACTGCGATGAAGAATGTGTCCACACTTGGGCACCACCACCGCTGTAGTGGATGTATGCAAAAACTCGAGACAGACGGGGCAGTCACGCCCCATGGCATCCTCGACACACTACAGGGGCGGCCAAAAGAGGGGTTCGCTGAGTAAAGGCTGGGACCCACCGCGGACCGCGCCAACACGCTTCTCATTCAGCGCTTCTTTTTCTCTTCTTTTTTTTTCTTGCCATCAGCATAAAGTTACTCACCGTGTGGTCTTCAAAGCGTTTGTTGGTGTAGCAAACGCGGCAGCGGTCGCAGTGGGTAAAAGCCTCTTTGCCACCGACACGACAGATGCCGCACCCATGGCAGTGCCAGGTCCCTTTGCTCAGCTGATCATCGAACATTCGGCACAGGGGGCAAAAGTATTTGCCAAAACGACAGCCACACCGCAGACATCCCTCAGACACCTAGAAAGCAGCGACGACATGAGAACTAGACAGGCTACAGCAGCACCGACCAACATGGGAGGGTAAACAAGGGGGACATGGCGCATTTCCGCACCAGCTGTTCGAGGCCGCACTGCTGGCAGCAAATGCGTTGAACGGCCTTGCGGTCCATTTCCACGGTATCGCAGCCCGATTCTGTATCTTGATCATGACAACGGCGACAAGGGTAGAACCGTTGACAGCACACGGCCTATTCGAATGCGAGGTGTGAGCTGACCTGGACGCCTCGGGCTGGGCTACCCAAATGCTCCACAGACGGCAGCGGCATTGCAGGGGGATATCAAGCACAAACCTTGATGTGGCAATGTCGTTCATAATGCTGGCAGCCATGGGCATGGGCCCCATGCCCACTTGCAAACTCAGACAGCATGGCCTGGCAGGCACTTGCGGAACGGTCCGAGCGGCCGATAGGGCAAAGGCAGCGCCGCACGCGCAGACGCTCGTCGGTCTTCGTGCTCTCACAATCTACCCTCCAACCTTAAGTCCACCGAGCCCACACTCCCGCTCACACACCACACTCACGCTCACTCACATCAACACAAACTACTACTCCAGCGTCGGTCGGTGGCACCACAGCCGCCCCCCAGCGTTGTCCAGGCTGTCCTGACTGAGAGAGAGC